TGTGGGTCGGAAGTGAGGGGCACCGGCAGAGCTGGGGGGCAGGGCCGGGCTAGCAGGGGCTGTGGGTCGGAAGTGAGGGGCACCGGCAGAGCTGGGGGGCAGGGCCGGGCTAGCAGGGGCTGTGGGTCGGGAGTGAGGGGCGCTATCCCTGTGCCCAGGCCCCAGGACGTGACGGTGGCGGCCGGCAGCGTGACCCTGGGCATGGGCGGCGTCACCCGGCGGGTTCGACGGATCCTGTCCCACCCCAGCTACAGCCGCAGCACCTACGACTCGGACCTGGCCCTGCTGCTGCTGAGCCGCCCCCTGCCCCCGGGCCGGGGTCTCGGCCTCGTCTGCCTCCCCGGGGAGCCGGACGACGAGGACGACGGGCAGTGGGGCAGCTGCTATGTGGCCGGGTGGGGCACCACGGAGTACGGTGAGCGGGGCTACCTGGTGGGCCTGAGCCGGGGGGAGCAGGGGCGGGGCTGGGAGGGGGCTGGGGAGGAGGGGGTCTCTCCAGGGGTGTCTGGCTGGCGGGGGTCAGGCCGGAGGGGGTGGGGCCGATGGCTGGGGGGGCCCATGGCTGGGGGGGGTCTCTCTGGGGGTGGTCTGGCCGGGGCTGCACCGTCGTCTCTCGCAGGGCAGGAGACGGTGTCGGGAGTGCTGCAGGGGGCTGGCAGGGCCCATGGCTGGGGGGAATCTGGTCGCGGGGGGGTCCGGCAGGGGGTTCCGGCAGGGGGGTCCGGCCGGGCTGCAGCGTCGTCTCTCGCAGGGCAGGAGACGGTGTCGGGGGCGCTGCGGGAGGCTGGCGTGCGGATCGTCGATTGGCTGCGCTGCATGTGGTGGATGGGGGCCCTGACCCAAAACATGGTCTGCGCCGGGCACGAGGAGGGCGGCCGGGACGCCTGCCAGGTGGGGACCCCCCCCAGCCCCTCCCCCGCCCAGGCCCCCCCCATTCCTCCCAGCCCCTCCCCCAAACCCCACCTCTGCCCCACCCCAGGGCGCAGGCCCCTCCCACAGGGCCCCAAACTCCCCCCCGTCATCCCCCGACACCCTCATGCCCTGGACAGGGGACCCCCCGTGGTTCGTCCTTCGCTCCCTCGTGCTTCC